GGGGGGGGGGGGGAAGTATTTATTACATAATAAAAAAAATGTTTATTTTCTTTCACAATAATTTTTTTTTTTTCATTTTTCCTTCCTTCACTTTAGCCTTTTGAATTGATGTTAACAAAATCGTTAGATAAATTTGGTCCCAATCTTAAGAGGTAATTTAATGATTACCATTAATGTACATTTCATTATATTAGTATTAAAACCAGTTTCGAATCAAGCTAAATTGAATGCTAAACATGTTTGTTACTAAATATGTTCATATAATTTTTTTGCATCTCGTGTTTTTGAAGATCTACAAGTTCATGACCTGAACCACCTTTCATGAGCTTAATTAGTTGCAGATCATAAAGAACACACTCGAGAACTTGTTATTCATATCAAGCAATTTGCATAAAGAAAGAATTCAACATTTATATATAGTTCAAAATTGATCCATAGACACCAAAGTGCTCATCTACATATTGAGAAGTATAAATGTAATTGATCATATAATGTGAGACAAGACGAGTGAGATTAAAAAAAAAAAAGTGAATAAAAAGTATATATCAATACGATGTTTTTACTATAAAGAACGTACATGTATCATTTTCTATTTACTAAAAGTGAACCACGTTGTTTTTACAATCAGCTTCTACACACTAGACATTCGTATCGATATCAGATTAATGTATGTGGAGGAAGTGAAGACAGAAATAAAACATATAAAAAAAAAGACCTAGAAAAGAAAGAAAAAATTCATAACCAAAAATGGAAGAAAAGAAAACCATATATAATATTGTAGTAACAAGCAATTAACTAATTAAGACTAATGCCCAGGACCCTTTTTGCTAGGTCCAGAAGCTAATCTATATGCCAAGCTTCTTGCAAATTGACGAGTGCTGGAGTTGTTGTTAGAAGCAACAGCGAAACTCGCCATTCCAAGAGAAGAATCTTCTCCTTTCAAGTCCTCACAGCCGTCACCAACCGGTGACTTTAACGCCTCCGGTCGAAGAACTCTTCCATGCACAAAACAAAACTGCGATGACACCACAAGCACCGTGATAATAAGCATAACAATCCAAAGACTCTTCTTCATCTGCATCTTTTCTCTATGATCTATTCTTTTGAGTATTATTTTCCTTCTCTAAGAACGAAGAAATTAATTCAATTAACAGTGTGTGAAGTTGTTGGGTTGGGTTGGGCTGGCCCAAACATGGTTTATATAGAGAAAGTTTGTGCCAGAGACGGTGAAGCACTTTCCAAGTGGGTCCTTAAAAGCTGCTTGCTGATTTGACTTTGGCCAACTTGTTACGTATATTTCGTGTAACGTTGTTGGAAAAAAATTGTGTGGGGTTAATTATGCTTCCACGTGCATTGAAGGAATTGGTTGATTTGAATTCTTCCAATATTGTTATAATTTGACTTTACACTGTTACTCATACTACTCACAATGTTAAATTTTGACAAAGCAAGTAAGGTCAGTGAAATGAAACTAGAGTCTACTTATAACTAAGGGCATGCTCACGTTGAACCCTTGTGTTTCACACGGTTTTATGATTCCATATATGCACAATCTGTTACGCGTTCTTTTCTATTTGATTTTTTTAATGTTTGAATTAATTCCCTTTTTATTTTCCACGTCACAATAGTTGAAAACCAGACCCAGTTAGAAGGTGTACATGAAATTTTCTGGCTTAAGAAAAGGTGTATACACGTTTGGTTGAACTGTCACCTCCTTTGGGTTCAAGGCGGTGCTTAGGAAACTGAGGTGTAGAAATTGCAACCAATTCCAATAGGACAGTGGGCCATCCTATCCAAATGCACGCGGATGTATGTATGCTATGCATAACATGAAGATGTTGCACCAAGGTTTGAAAATTTATCGGATCACAATATCATCGGGGCTTAAGGTTCCTAATCCTAATGTGTGAGACTTATAGTTTCATCTGAAATGTAGCTTTTGCCCGAGGTTCATCTTAATTCGATCACTTAGTCAAATCATTACTTTTGATATCAATTGTTAGCAACAATTAATATGAAAGATTTAAATATCAAGAATAATTCTATCACCTAAATCATGGACAAATATTATACAAATAAACTTGATATTGACACGACATCTTAACAAAAAAAAAACTTTAATCATTAGATTTATGAATACTTTTTACTTATATGTTATTTAATATGTTTAATTATGTCTAATATGAGACTTTTATTCACATTTGCATATCAACAATTTCAATATAGGTTTTGATTTGTGAGACATATTTTTTCTCCAAGAATATTCGATGGCATGATAATGATTAAGGAGAAATTATTAGATATGACTATCAAGTGCCCATGATTTTGGTCAATTACTATATGACTTGCATTTAAGTTTTTCAATTTATAAAAAAATTTAATATTTGATTATATATCGTATAAAAATTAGTTAAGGAGCATGTGGTCCAAGACCACCTAAGTTTATGGTGACTAATAGGGTAAAGAAATACTAGTGTTTAAATTAACATGCGAGTTTTATGTAAGTAATTGAGAAACTAAATTTAAAAGTAGAACCTTACAAAAAATTAGGAAAGTAAAATCTTTAACATTAATGAAAAGTCATATTTACCAACTTGGATTGGCATGAGTAACAAGAAACTCATGTCACTTAATCAAGTAGTTAGAATTCGAATCCTAACTCTTCTAAATGCAGCAAACTCAAATTAGACCTACCTATTTGATGTTTGTTAAACCCTCAAGAAAAATTGTCTCTTTGTTCAAAATAAACCCAAAAAAATTGAAAGGTTAAAAGATTCAATACCTACCTCTCAAACTTAAACTTATTTGTTATATGAAAAAGAAAAATGAAAGAAAAAAAAAACTAGTCTCACTTCCTTTCAATTTTTTGGCCTAAGATATTACATGTAAGGATAGTGTTTGGATTTTAGGTATAGATATATTATTTGTATAGCCACATATATGACTACTAATAAAAAAAAATAATGACAGACACCCTGTTATTGTTGCACTTATATTAAATAACATTATGTTCTATATTACTATATATATTCATTAGTGTAAAGTAATTAATTAAAACAAAGCATATCTAGCCAGCAAAAGCTGTCTACTTTTCTAATCTAGAGGAAAGCACTTTATGATACCATAAATCACTTGCCAAGAGGAAGAGAAAATCTATCTCTGATTTTTTCTTGGTCAAAATCTCACTCTTTTTTCACATGTCCTTAATGTACCCCCACATTGATCACCTTCCTTTACACTTCAACAATTTTCCATTTTAGCTTGCTGCATCATAGTTTAGTTTAGTTTTAACACGGAAGAATGTTCACACATATAAAAGAAATATATTCAATATACACGTACACCTTTTGTGCAAGAATGATCCTGGCCTCGTGTGTGTTCGTACATAACTAGCTCAGTTTTGGTAACATACAGATAGAAATTAAGGACTGTGATGAATTGTGAAGGACCACGCGATCAACGAAATCTATAAGGTCCCGCTTAATCTGACCTTCGACATTTCCAGTGCCGCAAAACTTGAATAACGCCCCAGCGGTTTTATGTCAAAATCTGTCTCAAAATCTTCACCTAAAAAATTGTTGCATAATGTTTAGGGAACACAATGGTGCCTACCCCAAAGCTTTTTGTTCTTCTCCTATATTCTTATTGTTTACTCATGGCCGATATCAAAAATCTTGAAAGGTCTTCGAATTGTTTTATTAAGTTGTTAATCAGTTATTTTTGTCTCTTATTTTAAAACATAAATATTTAATCACTTATTTTAAAAATATAAAATTTTAATTGTATCATCATTTGATATTTATTAATCATTAAATTTTGACAATATTTGTTGACTAATCACTATTTAAATGATGCAACATAAAGAGATAAAAATAAAAAAATAACATATAGAAGATATTCATTTGTATCTATTTTAAAAAGTTCTTATTATTTATTTGTTTAATAAATCTTATTTGTATTATTGTTTAATTTTTTTAATTTCTAAATATCATGTTATTAAATGTTTTATCATTTAAATATGAATTAACATTAAAATTTAACCATTAATATATGTCAATTTGATGAGAGAAACAAAATTTCATATTTTTAAAATTAGAAGGACTAAAGTCTCTATTTTAAAATTAGAAAAATCAAAATTGTAGATTAATCAATGAAAATAGATGTACCAAAAATGTAATTTAGTCTTTTATAAATTATATATGTTATCAAGCAAAAATTGACATGAATATACCATAAAGTCGTCAGTTTGAATTACACTGAACTTCATCTCTTAAATAAGGTTTCACATTGAAATTTTGTCGATAAAAAAATGTGAATGAGAAAAAAAAAATTCAATTAATAATGATCAATTAAATTTTCTGACAAAGATTAATTAGTCAATAAATATTTTATATCGATAACATTAATTTAAAATTTTTAAGATTAATATTTTTAGAAGATCATACTATTAATTGTGCTATTTGCTTATTAGGGTGACCCATAAGCTAACACAACTATTTATCGGTTAATGGACGAAAATTTTATGTACTTTTCTTTTAAAAAAAACTTTAGTGTTTGTTGATTATAATTTGAGTTTTGCCTTGTTAATTTATTTAATAGAATTTTACTTTAAAAAATATTAAGATAAAACTCTTTTAAACATTGTAATTAGAGTTTTTGCCTCTTTAGTCACAACCTTTGGTTCTTTGGGTTATCTATGCCTTTTTTTTTTTTTTTTTAACGAACGATGCTTAAAATCCCAAACTAAAACTCGCAAAAGAAATACACCACTAAAATATCAACAACAAAGCAAAGGAAATCTTAGATGGAAGGTGTTCAAACACTTGTAAGCCCTCCTTACTACTAAAATTAAGTCTAGCCATAAAATCAACTATTTGATTAACTTTTCTAAAGATATGATTGCAATGTCAATCCTATTCCAAATCCGCCTCATCAATACTATGAGAATAATCCTTTGTCATATGTAAATCTCTTCATCTCTCTATAAAGATGTATAATGTGAAAATTGAAGACAGTCTACCCTTCAAATTAAGTTGTGTTGCCAACTAAGCTATTTTATTAAGTGATGAAGATTTTCGCAAACCTATCACTTGGCAAGTGAACCACACAAGATACATCCCGTACTCATGAGAGCAGGACTAAGACTTCCAAATCGAGTTATTCCCAAGGTTGGTTCCCAAGCTTTTACACAAGGGACCTTCCTTAGCGGTGTATTTCATATCGTATTTTTTGGAAACATTTTTATGCATATGATGCATGGCAAATAGACTCCATGCATTACATTCAATGACGTGATAGTTTCATAAATCACATGTTTCTCATATCACATCACTCATCATTCATATTCAAGTACTCATATATAAACATTCTTTCGCATTCATATGAACATCTCAATACAATAATTATAACATGGAATTTAATAGAAAAAATAACAAAAGGTTTACAGTTAGGATGATGCCTAGCAGCACACGCACCATGCTCAGCGCAAGTCCTTCAAAGGACCACAATAGTCTCTGTCCAAACTGCACCTTGCGTGATTGAGCTTATGCCTAGTGAGAACACCATTGAGAGCTCTCTAGAGTTTCCATGCTTGGCAAGAGTCAGCTTACACCTAATGGAAGTGTCACAGGTAGCCCTTGGAGCTTCCACACCCATCGAGGGTCATCCCATGCTTGGTGTGAGAGACCTTGAGAGCAAACCTTATTCTTGACCTCAACAACGCTTGGTGCGGTCCAAGTGGCATCCGATAACATATTAGAAATTGCACATATACAAAATCACAGTGAGGTATTCAACTTTCTAAAATAACTTTTCCTCTAATCATAAGTCAATCAACATAACTCAACATAATTCCTTAAGCATTCTAAAAAAAACAACTTGCTTAACTTTTCAACATATAATTCAACTTACAACTTTCAGTAATTCAATCATCAATATACATTATCCTAGATTAAAGTATAAAGAATTAACATCATATATCAACATACAACATGTGAGGGATACAACTATCATATATATGATTAACACTTAGTCAAAAAATCAACATATTTTCATTAGGTGACTCATGCCTAATGTCATTCTCCCTGTGCTCGGCATAAATGAAGCAAAGAGCCTCTGGCTCGCCTATGCTTGATGCCAACCAACCAGTGCCCGATATG